GAGGATGGGTCAAAGAAAGGAGGCGAATACTGAATATCATCCCATTGACGTTCCTGATTGGGTACCCTTGACTCAAGAGAAAGGTTGCGAGTTCAGCTCGACCAAGCTACTCGGTAAATACCTGGCTGAAGTATTCAAGAAGTAAGAAGCCTCCTATCTTGTCCAAAAGATCTTTATTTATTTGATTCAACTAGGAATCCAACTACGACTCGATTATGGTCACCGGACGAGTTGGAGAGCAACAAGCTCGATGGAACTTTCGAAGTCACAAATCGCGATTTCCAATGGGATCCTGAAACACGGGCAAAAGGTGGCCGCGTCATCGAAATCCTTTCAGAGCATACATGCCAGGGGATGATGCAAGGGTACACTCTAACGGGCAGGACTGGGATATTCCCCAGCTACGAGAGCTTTTTAGGAATTATTCATACTATGATGGTCCAATATGCCAAATTTATCAAAATGGTAAGCAAATTCACTTTAATGTACAAGATAATGAGCTCATCTCCGAGTAGGCCCGCGAAAAGGAGTGGCGGAAAGATGTGGCTTGTTTTAACTATCTGGAGACAAGCACATGGGCCAGGCAAGAGCACAACGGAGTATGTATCATCCACACTATTAAATGATCTATCCCACTAACTGTTTGCAGTTCTCCCATCAAAACCCATCATTTATTGGTGCTGTTCTGAACCTCAAGGCCAAGTATGCTCGAGTGTACTTGCCACCCGACGCCAATTGTATGGTATCTACAATGGCTCACTGTTTCGGCGCAAAGAATTATATCAACCTCGTCATTGGCTCCAAGCACGAAACTCCGGTTTGGCTCTCAGCAGAAGATGCTGCCGAGGTAAGTTAGCTTACACCATCAAAATGAATTTTAATAGTTACTTTTATTCTTTCCGACAGCACTGCAAGAATGGTGCTTCTGTGTGGAAGTTTGCCAGCACGCACGATGGTGAAAACCCCGATGTAGTATTGGTCGGTATCGGCACGGAAGTGAACTTTGAAGTGATCACTGCGGTCGCAATGCTCCGTGAAATGGT